GCACGTCGGTTTGACGGATTGAGATCATCTCCGCTGGCAGTCCTTGCCGACCTGAAAGTTCCTGAAAGTTCCTAACGGTGATGGAGATCTACCCCACCAGCTAAGGGCTTCTTTCCATTCCATAAGACCCAGCAAACAGGGGCAGAGGCACGAGATGGCCGCCCCCCCATCGCTGGCCGCGGGAATAGATAGGGACCAATGGACAGTGGTGGCGGCGAAACGGCGCGAATGATGGAGCGTTGCCATTCTTGTTCAGGGAAATGGGCCCAGCTTGTCGGGCGGTCGCTGTTAACTTTCGAGTTCAGAGTTCCCTGCGACCAAGACACGGAGACACCAAGGGTCGTGGAGAGGCCGTGTGGCGGGGCAGTGAAGCTTTACGAAAATACGATTGGTCTGTTCCGGCCAAAGCGCCGGTACTGCGGGGCCAAATTTTGATAGCGAGCGACCTGCACGTGGGCGCAATTTTGGCCAAGTTCCGGTATTTCAACACATCGTCACCACCTGATGTAAGCACTCCAGAAGTCTCCCCTACCTATCCCTGACTGAGCCACAGTCCAGCCAAAGTACACCCTTAATCTGCAGGTAAACGTGGAGGCGGGAGGCAACCCAGTCCAACCTTCCTTGATCCACAGACTGAGATGCAGCCCACTCCAACTCTCTCTCAGGTCCCCCGTACTCCCGTACTCTCCTGCGCCCGCTTTGCTGAGCGCACCTGCCTCTGGGTGAGGCTGAACTACCAGCACACCGGCCTAATTAATCCAACTGCCCCCATTACGGTGCTGACTTCAACTACACCTCATCCGCTTCCTCTCTCGTGGGCTCATCGCCATCGCGGCGACTGCTCGTCCACACGCAACGCTGCCTCAACAAAACGTACCATCTGGACTGCCTTGATCAACAACTCGTCGGCGACGCAACCCCTATAGCTCGCCCTCTCACTTCGCACCCGCTACTGTCGTCCTCATCCGAGTGTCTCAGGTCTCTTTGGGAGGAGGTTCATGTGGTGCAGCGAGTGCTGACGCGTGGTTGCCGAAAATGGCTCCTCCAGCAGCCTCGTCTGAGGGTATTACCGCCCAATCAGACCTTGGCGAATCTGACGACAGTTCATCCTTTTTAAAACGCTCAATTGATATGGACTGGCTGAAGCCAAAACGAGAGATGTTATCCCTCACCAACCGCGCGACACTGGAGCGCCGCTCATTATCAGGAGGAGGGGTTGCTGGAGTCGTTATTGGTGTCATTATCGCCGTCTTCCTCGTCGGTGTCTGCGCCTACCCATTTATCGTAAGAAGAAGAAGAGCTAGGAAACATGGATTGCCCGAACGTCTCGACACGGAAACGGCCTTCGTCCCTGGGCCTCTGGGGCCTTCTGGACAGGCGCCGGCGCCCGGACCCGGACCCGGAGTCAACAGCCGTCATTCTTCAAAAGATTCCTTTGGGAACAAGGCCGACACGTTGAGGGGTACAGAGAGACAGTCTACCAAGGACACCGCACTATCATCTCACAACGGCATCGACCGCCCCCCCAGCGATGAACTGAGCAACCAGCACCAACGTGGCTTCACCGGCGACAGCACTCATCCACCTAGTATCACGACGAGACGCGGCACAACCGAGTACTCCTTTGGACATGCGCCCACATGGAACAGCGAGTCGTCCTACCCATGGACCCCCGTGGGTGTAGAGCTCGTCGCTACTCGAGCCGATGGCATGGACTATACCGAAGCCAATCATGGACATAGCGCGACCTACTACAGCCCAACTATTCCTTCAGAAGCCTTTGGCATGGTCACGCCGCCTCCGACCGACGAGCCTCAAAGTCGCGCACCACTCCCTCGACGATCAAGCTCTCGAGGAAGCTCTTTCAAGCTCAACCTAGCGAGCATGATACGTCGTATGAGCACCAAGGACTCCGCAACCACCCGCTCAAAGGGCCACCCATCACAACCATCGCAGCCCGTTCTCAGCGAAACACTATCAGACTCTCCCACCGAGTTTACTGGTCCATCATTCGGGACCGCTCAGCTGGATTCGCCTATTCACCTCCCTGTTAGCCCCATGTCAGAGTCCGAGGATCCTAGCCATGCTTCGGACTTGGAAAAGAAGAGATCAGTGAAGCCGACCGAATCCCCTCCTGTTCTTCCTCCAGCTATACCGGCTCCTGGGACTGTAAATCCAATGGACATCATGGCACCATCCAACCCGACAGAGCACAAGTGGAACACGAACCAGCAGCTATTCAACATTGCGCACCCGCTCCCTAAGCCGCCTGTTGAGATTACGAAGCCAGCACCAGAACCGCCGCAAGCATCACAAGCTCTTACACCACAATCACCGGAACAGTCATACGAACAGCAGGAGCAATATATCCTCCAGCAACAGCAGCAACAGGAACTTCTCCGTCAGCAACAAGAAGCAAACGGACCACCAAAGTTGTATGAAAATGGACAATCTCAGGCGATGAACTGGAACCTCACAAATGGAGGCCATGCGAACGGCGCTCTTCCGGATGTACAGATGAACGATGTCGCGCAACTACCTGATCCCAACCACCTCATGCCTGATCAACACAATCAACATAACCAACACTACCTCGATGGCGAAATAACCGACCCATCCGATCACTCGCCGCCGGTAGCTGGGCAAACCAGCTCCGGCCCTTCTTACCAAAGCACGCCAAACACCCAAATCGACAGCAGTCCATCTCCGCGATCAGACGGCAGCTCGGATATCCGCAATAGCACGTCGCCGTACCCAGGAATGCAGCCGTCTCCTCGAACATTCATCTGTGACGAATGTGGTAGGTTTTTCGACCAGGTCCACAAGCTGAAGTAAGTCCAGATGCGTAGAAATTGCTTCGCACATGTTACTGACAGATCTAGTCACCACAAACGATACCACGAGAGGCCTCATGAATGTGCCCATCCGAACTGCGGAAAGAGGTTCGGTACTAAAACACATCTGGATCGTCACATCAACGATAAACACAAGAAGACGAAGAAGTTCCACTGCACCGTCAGCACCTGCCCCTATTCCAAGGCGGGAGGCAAATCATTTCCGAGAAAGGATAATTGGAGACGGCACATGATGAATATCCACCAAGTCACACCAATGGGCGACCCAGAACCCGACATTGTCGACGAGAATATGGGAGGAACATAGGGTTGGAATGCCTATAAGCTTTTCTACACGCAGAAATAATGCCACCGATTCAGGGGCAAGGGGGCAATATCGCCCTGCAGACGAGGCAACGCTTGGGAAGTGGTCTGTCGAAATGACGGACAAGTGACTTGCAAGCGACGACCGCCTTTGCTCTCTGTGAGCATGTAGCAGGATTGGGGATGAGTGAGAGGGAACGATTACTTAAATAAGGTACCCTCCCATCACGAATCGGGCCCAGTGACGGATCTAGGCATCATTCGTTTCGTCGTTGCCTATGGGCAATTTGTTACATACATCTTGGTTGCCCCTTGAGGAGGGAGTAAAAACAAGGGGGCAACACAGGTACATTCTTTTATCGGGTGCTGCATAGCAGCAGTCTGGCGTTTGGAGGCTCACGGAGATTGCCGCCAGGGTAAATACTGTAGAACAAGGCCATAAAAAGCATCACGGGAGGGCGTGTTTGCATAGGAAACCCCTTTTTAACTCAAATCTTTGATTAACGATCTCACAAGCTTCTTCTGCTGATCGGTTGTGAGACCACGCTGGTCCGTCTCCTGAATCGCCCGTCCCACCGCGATGATGACCTTTGTGCTCTCGCTGTTGACCCAGATCTTGCCGTTGCGACCGACGGCCGTCTCGAAGGCCGCGCCCGTGGCGCCCAGCTCCTCGAGCACGACAAGATCCGTCGTCTTTGCCATCAGCAGACGCCGCGACATGCCCAGCGAGATGTCGAAGAGCATGCCGCCCACGAGGGGGCCCAGGCCGTCGCTCTTGCCGGTGGATTGGTAGACGCATTCGAGTTCCGGGTCCATGTGCTTGTTGGCCAGCGTGACGCGGGCGTAGACGAGGGCGCCGGCGGCGAGTTGGGGGCGCGTCTTTTTGGAGGCGCCTTCGAAGGAGAGTTGGGGGAGCATGGCTGGTGTTGAGTAGTCGGCGAGGAGGACGTAGTAGAGTTCGGCGGCGGTGCGCTGGACGGTGCCGACGACGAGGTCGCCTACGGTGGGGATATACTATTTGATCATTTGTTAATCTTTTTTTTGTTCGTAATGGCAGAATCTCTGAGAGACGCGATAAGATCGTACCCGTCCACTTGTCTGCTCAACCCATATCGAGTTCTTCTTGCGATCTGTGACGAGCTTGCCGGCAATGGTGGGCACTATTTGCCTGGGAGGAACATGGCGGAGGCCAGGGCCGAGGCGCAGTGGAAGTTTCTGATGTGAAGGGATAAGGGAGTCGTCAATCTCGTCGCCGGGGAGGACGTAAGGGCCGACGGAGGCCATGGTCGAGAGGGTCTTCGTTGTACCGCCGAGTAGGATTTTGGTGGTGATGTCGAATTGAAATCGTCAGGTGAGCGCGAGCGCCGAGTATTATTACCTTACTTTTTTCGCCTTCAGCGCTGGTATCTGCGATTTCAGCCTTGCAGCAGTAGCAGCGGTCACTGAATGTCGAAAGCTTTGGCGGGGCACTTTGTGTGTGCGGCGGTGGCTCCTCCAGCGAATTGAATTTGATTGGAATACGGCCGATGGGACATGTGGGGAAAACGAAGGGCCCCACTGCGACTGGACGACAGCGAACGTGGGAATTTTTTTTTTCCCTTGCCCAAAATTTCGCAGTTGGCCTTTGAGAGAGGAACCCCCACCATCCACCACCCACCACCATTGAAAACATTCCTTTCCTTCTAGATCTCTACTGGAGTTGTGGTATCAAAAGTTCAATAAATACCTACTACCCCCCTGCTTTTTCTCGACTCCTTATATCGTCGCCTCCTTCCCCTCCACGACGAATATCCGCATACGCACACATACGTCTTTCCGGACGCACACACACATACACACAAAATGGCTACGAACGGTGACTCGCGGCCCGCGCCGGGCGACCGCACCGTCATTGGTATCACCTTTGGCAACTCCAACAGCTCCATCGCATACACCAAGGATGACAAGGCCGAGGTTATGGCCAACGAGGACGGAGGTGAGCTCTTCTTTTGGGAATGGGAAACATGGCGATTGGGCAACCGAAGAGCGAATCGCTGACATATATCACCATGCCAGACCGTCAAATTCCCACCATCCTCTCCTACGTTGATGGAGACGAGTACTACGGACAGCAGGCCAAGGCCTTCCTCATCAGAAACCCCACCAACACGATCGCATACTTCAAGGACTTTCTCGGACAGGAGTATGGCTTTACCCTTCCCCCCATGAAACTCTCTCTCCTTCCACCCCCGCCTGGCATCTTGAACTGACAATGTCCCACCTACAGCTTCAAGTCCATCGACCCCACCCACAACCACGCCTCTGCCCACCCCCAGGACGTGAACGGCACCGTCTCTTTCTCAGTGAAGGACAAGGAGGACGCCGAGGAGCCCTCCACCGTCTCCGTCCACGAGACCGCCGTGCGCTACATCCGCCGCCTCGTCGGCTCCGCCAGCGACTACCTAGGCCAGAAGGTCACCTCGGCCGTCATCACCGTCCCCACCAACTTCACCGAGAAGCAGAGGGAGGCTCTCGTCGCCGCCGCCAAGGAGGCCGGCCTCGAGGTCCTCCAGGTCATCTCTGACCCCATCGCCGCCGTCCTTGCCTATGACGCCCGCCCCGAGGCCGTCATCGAGGACAAGATTGTCGTCGTCGCCGACCTTGGCGGCACCCGCTCCGACGTGGCCGTCGTCGCCTCCCGCGGCGGCATGTACACCGTCCTCGCCACCGCTCACGACTACGAGTTCTCCGGCTCCCACCTCGACCAGGTCCTCATCGACTACTTCGCCAAGGAGTTCATCAAGAAGCACACCACCGACCCCCGCGAGAACGCCCGCTCCCTCGCCAAGCTCAAGGCCGAGTCCGAGTCCACCAAGCGCGCCCTCTCCCTCAGCAACAACGCCAGCTTCAGCGTCGAGTCCCTCGCCGACGGCGTCGACTTCCAGTCCACCATCAACCGGTTACGCTACGAGATGGTCGCCCGCAAGGTCTTTGACGGCTTCAACCGCCTCGTCGAGGGAGTCGTCAAGAAGGCCGAGCTCGACGTCCTCGACATTGACGAGGTCATCGTCGCCGGCGGCACCGCCCACACCCCGCGCATCGCCTCCAACTTCTCCCAGCTCTTCCCCGAATCCACCAAGGTCATCGCCCCCTCCACCGTCGCCAACGCCATCAACCCCTCCGAGCTCCTCGCCCGCGGCGCCGCCCTCCAGGCCTCCCTGATCCAGGAGTACGACGCTGAGGACATTGACCAGAGCACCCACGCCGCCGTCACCACCGTCAAGCACATCGCCAACGCCATCGGCGTCGTCGGCGCAAACGACGAGTTCGTCCCCGTCGTCCCCGCCGAGACCGCCGTCCCCGCCCGCCGCACCGTCAAGATCGCCGCCCCCAAGGACGGAGGCGACGTCCTCGTCCGCATCGTCGAGGGCGGCGCCCACATCAAGGTCACCAAGCCCGAGCCCAAGGCCGCCAAGCCCGAGGCCGACGACGAGGATGATTCTGACTTCTCCGACGAGGAGGAGGAGGACATCCGCGAAAAGGTCTGGAAGGTCGGTCCCACCCTCGCCGAGGCCGCCGTCCGCGGCGTCAGCAAGGGCGCCAAGGTCGAGGTCACCATCAACGTCGCCGCCGACTTGGGCGTCACGATCACGGCGAGAGAGGTTGGCGGCAAGGGCGGTGTCCGCGGCACCATCAGCGCTCCTTGAAGTGGTTATCGTCCCTACATCTGAAAAGAGACCAGTAACGACTTTTGCCTATGAGGAAGAAAAGACGCACGCCATTGGATGCAAAAATAAAACGGTCAGGCGTAAAAAGAGAGTGATTAGGGATCAGGGGGTTGATAAAAGACGAGCCTTGTGTTTTCCGAAAACCTGTCTGTCCCCCACTTTTTTTATATAGACATCAATCTTAGGTGGCGGAGGAGTGGAAATGGAAGGCATGAATCAACGGACATGAACACCCGGAACATAGAGAGAGAGAGCGCAAAAAAGGACTTACAGACAGAAAGCTCTTTTGTAGGCGAGTTAGTCTTGGGGAGAAGAGATGTAGAAAAACGAAATGCTGTTAATGAACCTTTTCGTTTTGTCCCAGATACACATGCAAGACTGAAATCACGAATCCGGCACTACATACAGACGACCCCAAGGATGATGATTGAACAAAACTTCAATCGATGAGTATGAGAAAGGGGGAGGCATTGCCTATGCAAGAAGATAAAATGTACGCCTGCCCACTGAACACCTTGCTACAAGGGAACGAAAAGCAAAAGCGGTCCTTGAATCACATCGCACTGTCCCCCTTTTATGTGACAGCGCCAGGCAACCTCCACGCGACGAGATCATCACGGACGTCAAACTCCTCCAGCTCCCTGTTCCTCCTCGAGCTCTCGCGCCCGCGATCACTACTGCCCATCGTCGGCGCCAGGCTCACCATGCTCCCGCTGCGACTCCTCGAGCGCCCGTGATCGCGCGCACCGATACCCCCTCCGTTACCGCCACCACCGCCTCCCCCTCCTACTCCGAGCCGTTGGTCGTCGTCCCGACCCCTGGTCCGGCTATGTGAGCCGCGACGAGCAACGTTGCTCGCGCCGGCGGTGCTGCTCGCTGTGTCGCCACGGCCCGTAACGATGGTGGCCATGCTCTTAATGCTCCGCAAGCTCCTCATGCTCCTGTCGCTGGAGCCGCTGTTGTTGCGTGAATGGTGGCGGTGGCCGTTGTGCAGGCGGTGCAGGTGCAAGTGATCCTGTTGGGGCGGGTCCAGCAGCTGTTGGTGTTGCTGCTGCTGCTTCCGTTCCAGCTTGCGAAAGTCCGAGGGTCGGAGGGTGCCGTTCATGCCACCCTCGTCGGAGCTCAGAGAGCCGCCGTTGTCCAGGTCAAAGGTGGCCGTCTTTTTGCCGGTGCGTCCCGTGCGCCCGGCCTGCCACCCGTCGCCGCCGGAAAAGATGTCTTCGATGCACTGATCGGCGGGGAGCTCGCCGGGTTGACAGGACCAGGAGGCTGCGAGGGCGCGGCGGTACATGTCCTGCACTTCGGAGGCATCCCTGGATTTTGCCATTGTGGGAAGCTCTTGGGGGGTGATGTTAGTACGAGATGGACTGCCAAGAAGCGCAGATGTAGAAAACCACGGAAGACTTACGTCCAGCGTCATCTTGCTCAACTGCTTCGCCCGCCATGATGCCGGCAATCCCGCCAAATACGGGTGCAGTTTTCAAAGGAGGCGCAGAGTAGTTCTTGTCGCCATCGAGCTGCACCATCAAAATGCCGATCTTCAATGTGCTGTTGATCTTGCTTTCCTGCATAAGATACCGCCGCACGATACCATCCTCGACATCTGGATCGTCCAGCACCGGCGCCCTCGTCGACATTGGGCTCTGGCTGGTGCCGCTGCTTCGCTTGCGCGAGTGACCGCGGTCGAAGCTAGCGCTCTCTCGGGTAAGGCCATCGCTCTCCTCCACGTACTCGCTGAGGTTGAGCTTGACGATACCGAGCGAGATCTTCTCCTCCCTGCCGCTGCCCGGGAATTGTTGAAGGACCTCAAATTCGACGGGACACTCGGTTAGGTTATTGTTCTTGTCGATGCTGATCCGGATATGGCTGACGACCTTGGAGTAGTTATACTCGACCTTGTGGTTGGAAATCGGGCATTGCGGCGTGCGGCCGCGGTGCTCGGCGTGAATAGAGTGTGCGAGGTTCCATTTTACTATTGACGTCCCTGATACCAACGGGACGTTGTTTAAGTCGAAGATCTGGAGGAGTTGTCAATAAGGGAGATTCTTCGCCAAGATGCAGCAACTGCCGTGTCAAGAGGGGCTCACACCTTTAGATGTAACTCAAACTTTGGCTGCGTCAAGTAACGTTAGCTCAAACCGGTTCGCTGAGTGGTCACCAACAACGGCGCACATCCTCCACTTTTGGGGATTGACTTTCCCACGGCAGGATGGTGGGCGCGGAGAGGAAGCATTACCTTTCTGTTCTTATTGACTGTGGGCAGGAAGCCCCCGTTAGCCATGCTCTTTAGGGGACTCATTTTGAGCGAGTGATTCGCTCACGCTCAGCGCAAATGATAATGACGGAGACAAGAGTAGAAGCAAAACAAGGCGGGGACCGAAAAGCCCCGGGCCCCAACAAGAGGTGCTTTCAAGGGAGAGACATGGGAATGATGAGGTTGTTGATTACACAGCAAAAGCGAATAGAATAGGTAGGGCTGGACGTGACGAGAAAAGGCCACCAAGCTCTCTCCGGGGTTGTCTCAGTGAGATCTCAGCCTCATGTGAGGTACGTGTGAGCAGAGGGCTAGGCAACCCACGTGGTCACAAGGAATGCGTATGTTTAGGTGAAATAAGGAGAATACAATAAGGACAACAACGCCGGCAAAAAATCAGCTCGACATGGGACGGATGATGGAGGAGAACGAATCGGAGAAAGGAGCAACAGAGGCTTACTTAAGGAAGCCATGTTTCATGGAAGGCATGGCGGGTTGGGTTCCGTCGGGGCCAGCAAGTTAATAATACCTGCGACCTCTGATGAGGACCGCGCGCCTTCGGAGGTAGGTAGATACCGTAAGGTATGTAAGACTGCGCGGGCGGGCAGGCAAGCAGACGGCAGTGTGCAAGGGCTGGCAAGGCACACACACAGTCGTAGTCGCAGTCGCAGTCGCAGGCGCGCAGGAAAGTCCAACAACACGAAGAGATTTGTCCCCTCTTGTCAGCGACGCTCGGTTTCGTTTCGGGACAGCCGGATAATACGGTGCTGGAAGAGCTGTGAGAGGGGCAGAACCACCAGTAGGTACAGCTAATAGATAACGGGATGCTGGTACCGTGCCGCTGAGTCCAGTCTTCCTGAAATGTCCGCTGAAGGAAAGGCTTGAAATTGCATGCGTGGTCAGCGGCCAATCGCCGTCTGCCTGACAGTGCGTCGTCCGTCCGCCGGCGTCGATAGAATGGAAGCTGAGAGCGCGAGAGAGAGATATGGGCTTGTATGTATTGCGGCAGAGCGCAGGGGGTAGTCAGGAATTCGGGGTTCCAGACTGTACGGAGAAGACTGATCCTCCACGGGCGGACTGACTCAGCAAACAGGGGTCTGCTGTCCGTAGATGTCAGAGATATCCAAGACTCGGTACAATTTCTGAAAGCTCAGAGAGTTGAATTGCCGTGAATCAAGTCGTGTTTGTGTGTCGATGCTCTCCCTCCTCCGATGATGAAAGAAAGAGAGTTTGACTTTGGACAGGGTCGAAGGAATACGTAACTCCGTCAAGTGCCACCTGCCCCAGCATCCTGGGCGTACGGATACCGGAACCGCTATAGCGGCATGTATCTGGCCCGAGTTCTTCAATGAGCCACAACTGGATCCTCGGGTCCAGCAACTAGTAGCCTGCGCCACAATAGACTTCGTGGTCTTTTATGACACCCAGTAGTCCATACATCGTGACAAAATGCATTTCATGCCTCTTTGAACCGATGTCTTGGACCCATATCACCAGTGCTTTCTTACCCAGTTGCGTAGTTGTCGCAGTGCCATAGTCATGTCATTGCATCTCAGGCCTCTCTCAAGGGTGGCTTTACCATCAGTACCCAAGCACAAGGAATCCAGTCTCTAGAGCACCATCTACAACCTTCCGTTGGCAACTACAAGCCTTCCATATCCGTCCAAGGCCAACACCAACTGGAGGTCACGATAATTCTGCATGCTCTTAGCCAGATCATTTTTTCATTCGTGATGCATTCTACCTCAAAAACTCTGCAGTATGCGTACAGCGTCCTAAATTTTCTCAATACAATCGACAGCTTGCCGCCGTACTGTCAATTTTCAATTTCGCGATACCTTTAATAGCAAGACCTTGATTCCTTGAAGATCTAGGTCGATGCAGTCCAGTCGGCCTCTTACGTAACACCCGTTGACTTTTCGTTAGGCTTCTAACCTCGTGATGTGTGTTACGGGCATGAGCCACATATCAAGCTTTCTCTGGTCCACTTTCTAGCCTTGCCGGTATTACTAGCATCTGTTCGCAACGAGTCGACATTTTGCGAACAGCAGTCAACTCAGTCGCCGTACTCCCGAGAGACGAACCGGTGGAATCTATGTATGTTGTGGACTTTTTTCCGGCTTTACGGAGTACAGGCGCAAAAGATTAGCGGGAAATGGCTCTCGAGGAAAATCACACGATACGGCTTTAAAACGTTGCTCATGCTGTTTCTCAAGCTCGCGGTCACCTTAATACGGTGTAATTCGATCCAGGAAAAGGAAGACGTAATACGGAATTATAGAGAAATTGCCTGGGCAATGAAATCTATCAAAGTGAACTCAAGAAAATTGAAAAAGGTCGGCGAGGGTTGACGGTCCTTCTCAGCCCGGTAGGTACTTCGCCAGGACAAAACTCCAGAGCCTAGTCTAGCCGGGGAATGTCACGATCAAGCCACCCAAACCTGCCAAAAACTATAAGAAACCTAAGTTTGTAACACAGAGCCTCACCAATAGTCGAGATCCGGCAGCCAGTCAACTTTCACCCTGAAGACAAGCGAAAAAAAGGGAGCATCTGAAAGGACAAGGGTCCGGGGCCTCACGTCATGTAGTGACGATGCCGTCCAATATGTTTCTCCAAGATAGTCTCCAGACACCACCAGGGTGCAGCCCTGTCCTTTCCAGGTTCTCCCAAGCAGATGGAGGCTGCCGGAACATGCCGACATCTGCGTCAAGACGAACACTCCCAC